CTCATGGAGACTTTTGCTATAAAAGCTTGTTATCCTCTGCAATAAATCGCACTCAGCATTCACTCCTCTTGTGTGTGAGTTGTCTGTTTGCCATCTCCCCACCTATTCCAGGTCCTCCACTAGGTGTCCTCCGTAGTCCCGACAGAGCCGGTCCGCGGCAGGTATTGATGCCCTGTGTCCGCAGCAGACAGACCGGTTTGCAAAAAGGCCGTGACTGTGGGTATTCCTCAGAGCATAAAAAAAAGGAGGGGGGGAGGGACAAAAAAAAAAAGGGATAGGAATCACACCTATCCTGACTTCAAGCCCTTCCTGGGTCCTCGGTTCCAATCCAAGTCACGGTATCATTTATGGTTTTTTTAAAAGAGGTTGCCGAGTAAGAACCATACCATGCACGTGGAATTCAGATAAGGGGTAGGTTTATTCATCGTTCTGGCTGGCACCAGGCCATGTTGGCACTCCAATCGGCTGGGAAAGGCCTGGGAAAGAGGTCATCTAGCCCTGGGCTAGGCCTTATCTAGGGTAGGGATGGGGAAAGGTGTGGCCAATCAAATCCAGATATGACCTCAGCAAGTGCAGATGTGACCTCTTCCAGGTGTGTCAGTTGCCTAGGTAATGCAGGTACTGGGCAGAGACTTTGCTGCGAGGAGGGTGGAGTCTGCTCGCCATCCAGGAGTGAACCTTACATATTGTATTCCCAGGCCTAGGCTGGGAAGGTGGCTCAGTGCTTGCCTTGTATGCATGAGGTCCTGGGTTCGATTCTTCAGCATCAGATAAGCAGAAAAAGCTGGAAGTGGTGCTGTGGCTCAAGTGGTAGAGTGCTCACCTTGAGCTGAAGAGCTGAGGGACAGTGCCCAGAACCAGAGTTCAGGCCCCTTGACTGACCAAAAAAAAAGAGCAAGTGCAATGTTAAGAGTTGTCTTCTCTTGATTCCATTTGTGAATAATTATTCATAAAAGGGATTCTAGAAGTGAAGCCAGATAGACTAGGAAAAATGAAGCATGGTAAATGGATGCCAGGGATTCAAAGATTCAAGCTTAAAGTTTGTCCATCTACTTCCCTTGGGATTAAGGGAACAAAGTCATTTTGGGGAAAATGAAACCGGATAGACTAGGAAAAATGAGGTATGGTCAGTTAATAGCAAATACAGGAGATATTCCTTCATGTACTTTCCTTAAGATTAAGGGAACAGCCGGGCACTGGTGGCTCACGCCTGTAATCCTAGCTACTCAGGGGCTGAGATCTGAGGATCTGTGTTCAAAGCCAACCTGGGCAGGAAAGTCCATGAGATTCTTATCTCCAACAAAAACCACTAGAAAACTGGAAGTGGTGCTGTGGCTCAAGCAGTAGAGCACTCGCCTTGAGCTGAAGAGCTGAGGGACAGCGCCCAGGCCCAGAGTTCAAGCTCCATGACAAAAAAAAAAAAAATTAAGGGAACAAAAGTCATTGTGGGGGGAAATGAAGCAGGATATGGAAACTGAGGCCTGGCGTAGGCAACTCAGAAATGCGGTATCTAAAAACTTAGAAGTGCTATCCTTGCTTGAAATAGAGGCAACTGAGTGCATTCTTTCCTGAGCTATGCATTTCTCACCCAAGGATCACAACTGCCTGACAGGATGCCCCCAAAATGCAGATAGCAGGGTGACTCTTTGTTTCAAGGATAAGGAGCTGTTTTATGGCAGAATGCATTCTTACTTAGAAACTCAGAGAATAACACCAGGTATAGTTAAAGCAAAGACAAAGCACCTAGCTTTGTATAACTTAAAGCCAACCCCCCTGCCTTTACCCTATTGTTAGACTCAACTTCGAGACCCCTGAGCAACCCTCAGAGACTACTACCAATGCATGCAGCAAAAGAGTCTTTATTTGCAAGCTTGAGCCTGGACTCATAATCGTCAGGGTCAGAGTTGTGAGGCCCGACCACATGTTCAGTAGGGTTCTTATAGGGTTCCAGCAAATAGGAGGGGGTTTAAGGTTCATGGACTTCTACATCATTGGTCAGCATTTCGCAGGCAAGTTTTGAGAAGCCCTGGCCCTGCAGCTGCTTCTCCCAGCTGACCATCCCGTCCATTTTCCAGTAACTGGGGTTGTGTTTCTCAACCCTTATCTAACTGGGGCTGCTAGGGTATAATGAGTATAATTGCAGTTTCAATTGCAAGCTTTCTGAGAACCTTCCAAGAACTGGTGCTTCCAATCATTGTTTTGTCCCTTAAGTTTAACCTGAGGTCAGTTTTACAGGAGATGATGGCTTGTTTTTAGAATGGAGTTAGATTAGTCCTTCACTATAAATACCCAACAGCACAAGGAGCTGTGTGTGTCTTTGGCTATCTTCTTGTTTGTGTCTGTGTCTTTGTGTCCCTATGAGAGCACCCACACTCTGCTAGAGTGTGCCCCTGCCCTTCTGTTTGCTTTTTTGTCCCATTTGCTTGTTTATTTAATAAAGCTCTGCCAAGTTTTCTTACTTAACATGTACTTAACATGGCTCCAGGAGTGGCAAGTAGGGTTACTTTTGTTCTCAGTGCTGCCTTGGCCCTGGTCCGGGTCAAGGAAGGAATCTGGGGACATTCTGAGCAGTGGCTGGGTGAGAACTTACAGTGCTCACTGAACAGTGTTGATCGTAGCAGTTGACTGAACTCTGCCCAGTGCCCACTGGAGCTCTCACCTCATCAGGGAGCCCAGTGTCTAGCAGGGACATGACAGAACTTATCCTGGGTCTCTGAGGGGAGCAGCAGGGCATGGAGGCAAAGATCCGCTTTGAAGACCCTGATGGGGATGTCTCAGCCCAGCGCTGAGCGCCTTGTCTACACTTCTCACCCCTGGGTGTTCTCTGTTAGGACCTCAGTGGAGTTTTCAGTTGGTGCTAATTAGCTCCTGGCTTAATGACCCCTGAGACCTTGTGACTGTCTTGGGCCTAACTTTTACAGCTGCTGCTTCCTCCATGGTCCCTCTGTAGGACTTGTCAGTGCCCTGGCTGGTGACAGGGTAATGGCGGCTCTGGATGGGGAGATGAGCTCATCATCTTCCTCCTTCCTCGGGGAACCAACTCCATAAACCTCACAATCTATAACTGTGAGTCCAGACAGCCTGCGTTCATCAGTGGCGACAGCTCTGTGCCTGTTCCAAAGGCAGAGATCCACCATGGTGAGTCTCCTTGTGACATGCACTCCTGGCTTATTTGGGGGATTGGGTTCCAATCACTAAGTTGGTAAACGTGGAGGGCAGGTGAGAACTGGGATGGGGTACAAATTTCCTTTGGGCTTCAGGAAACCATGTCCAAAAAGTGCTGGACTTGTTCAGGTCTGAGAGATTGATAGGGAGTGCAACGCACAACAGGCAGGAAAACGGGTGCCAGGAAGAGGGGGAGAGATGCCATTTTGAGTCTGAACCTGAAGGCTGCTGATCTTACTTGCTCTGCACCTAAGTGGGAGCTAATCAGAGAGGTGACACATTCTAGGTAGATGTTTCTAATCTTCAGCTTTTGTCCCTCTTGTCTTTATGAGTGTGCACACATGTGCACATGTGCACATGTGCACACACACACACACACAGCTCTGGTCTTCATTTCACAAATATGGTCATGATGTGGATGGCTTTGAGAGATCTGATAGCTGTATATCATGAAGTTGTAATATTGTTTTCTTTCTTCGGTTCACTTCTGAAAGGCATGACTTAAAATCACCATTGATGAAGACTCCAGTCTCTGGAGCCAGGAAAGCTATGATCCTTTGCTGACTCTTCCGACAAACTTGAGGGTCTGGGAGTTCCAAACAGGGTGTCTCCACCTTTCCACCACTGAGGAAGGAGTAGAAGGCACTATCACCCTGACTGATAAGTAGGGTGATAGGCCTCCACATAGCTGTCCCCTAGAAAATTACAGTATCATCTCTTTTGGCTCATTTATAGAGTGAGCATCCTCAGTTAGTGCTTGTGAAGGTAGAGTTGTTCATTTCAAAGGTATCATATTGCCTTGATTTCTCATGTTTCTGTGTTTCTGCATTGGTTTATTTTTTCCACATATGAGGCCACTTTGTGATGGTCTTCAGCTTCCTCTCTGTCTCTCTGTGTGTCTGGCTCTCTCTGTTTCTGTCTCTTTCCATCTCTCTGTCTCTGACTTTACCTCTCTCTATCTCTGTCTCTCTCCATCTCTGTCCCTCCCCCTTCCTGGTGATGAGGCATGGAACTGTTTGCTGCTTTTTTTTTCCTCTGCTACTTCTTTTTCTCCACCCTTTCTTTTCCTGCAACTCCTTTTTTTTTGGGGGGGGAATCCGGTCGTGGGGCCTGAACTCTGAGCCTGGGCACTGTCCCTCAACTCTTTAGCTCAAGGCTAGTGCTCTACCACTTGAGCCACAGAGCCACTTCCAGCTTTTTTTCTTTTTGCTTATGTGGTGCTGAGGAATCAAACCCAGGACCTCAGGCATGCAAGGCAAGCGCTCTACCACTGAGCCACCTTCCCAGCCCCATTGCAACTTCTTTTATGATCTTCAATGCTCTCCCTCTCTCTCTCCCTCTCTCTCTCTCTTCAGAGTATATTGTCTCCTGATGCTGCTCCTTCATGGAGTCTAAGTGGTGGACAGCAGGTCTTAGCTGCCATCTTTGCCACCCAACTGTCATACGAAAGACCAGGCTTTGTGGATAATGTGGTGAACATGTGAATGAAAATTGGAAGATAAGACTATCTGGCTTGGCTTTGACTTCATGAGTATACAATAAACATACCATGTTGGGAAATCTGAGTGGCTACTCTGACCTCCCACAAATAGTTTGTCCTCACAAGAGGGAGTTTCTGGGGGAGCAAGAGTTCCTATCAGAACTTAGGGTACTGGAATAAATCTACACTGAGTCCTAACTTTATACCCTTCAGACCTTCGGGCAGAATGTCACCCCCAGATCCCATGACAATGCCTTTTGGTGATTTCATCCTCTAGCTACTTTTCCTGGCCCAGGCTGGGGTTGGAGTCCTGGGGAATCTGTTTCTTTTCACAATTTATGCCCCTACATCCTGTATGGGCCCTGCCCCGAGGCCCACGCACCTGATCTTCACCAACATGTCTGTGGCCAACTTCTTGGTTCTTCTGGTTAAAGGGATTCCCCAGGTGATATTTATGTGGGGTAAAATCATTCTCCTGGACAGCACTGGGTGCAAACTCATCTACTATGTCCACAGGGTGGGCAGGGGCCTTTCTCTCTGCACCACCTGCCTGCTGAGCAGCTTTCAGGCCGTCACCATCAGCCCCAAAGCGGTGGCATGGATGCGGCTCAAAGAGCAAGCTAGCAAGAATGTCCGTAACTCCTGCCTTCTGTGTTGGGCTTTCAACTTGATGGCCAATCACCTTGTCCTTCAAAACATCGAGAGTGTTCAGCACAGCCACAATGCCACCCAGAGAAAGGACTATGGAATTTGCTGGTACAAAATTCCTATATCAAAGGCTACCAAAGGCACAATTGTGTTAGTGTTTCCCGACATTATATTCCTGGGCCTCATGGCTGGGACAAGTATCTACATGCTTCTTGTCCTACGTAGACATCAGCGACAAGTGAGGTACATCCATGCCCTCCGAGATACCCGCAGACTCTCTCCGGAGGCCAGGGCCACTCAAACCATCCTGCTTCTGGCAGGTGCTTTCATTTTGTTTTATTTCGCCAATTGTGCAATGTCAATTTATAATACTGTTATGTCCAAGCCTCCTGTCTGGAAGAAGTATACTACAAGTTTATTAGCGGCCACCTATCCCTCCCTCAGCCCCTTGATCCTGATGTTTCGAGATCCCCGAACACCACCTTTCTGCTCATAAATGGTGATAAAAACAATCCAACGTGACACAGCCGTAACAGGAAAAAAATCGTATCATTTGCAGGAAAGTGGATGGAAATGGAGATTATCATATTGAACGAGACAACTAAGCTCAAAAAGCCAATTGGGGGGCTGGGAAAGTGGCTTAGTGGTAGAGTGCTTGCCTTGCATGCATGAGACCCTGGGTTTGATTCCTCAGCACCACATAAGCAGAAAAAGCCAGAAATGGCATTGTGGCTCAGGTGGTAGAGCACTAGCTGAAGAGCTCAGGGACAGCACTCAGGCCCAGAGTTCAGGCCCCACAACCACCACCACCACCACCAACAAAAGCCAACTGGTCCATGTGTTCACTTGCTTGTGGAAGGAAGACCTAAGAGACACAGAGCTTCTGGAAGGCGCCATGTATTTTATGCGATTGGGGGTGGGGGCAGTCCGGTCGTGGGGCTTGAACTCTGGGCCTGGGCGCTGTCCCTCAGCTCTTCAGCTCAAGGCAAGCACTCTACCACTTGAGCCACAGCGCCACTTCCGGCTTTTTTCTTTTTGCTTGTGGTGCTAAGGAATCGAACCCAGGGCCTGCTAGGATTACAGACACAAGCCACTAGCACCTGGCTCAACCTCCCCCCCCCCTTTTTTTTTTGGTTGGTCGTGGGGCCTGATCTCTGGGCCTGGGCGCTGTCCCTCAGCTCTTCAGCTCAAGGCAAGCACTCTACCACTTGAGCCACAGCGCCACTTCCGGCTTTTTTCTTTTTGCTTGTGGTGCTAAGGAATCGAACCCAGGGCCTCAGGCATGCAAGGCAAGCGCTCTACCACTGAGCCACCTTCCCAGCCCCCATTTTTTTTTGTCATTGTGGATCTTGAACTCTGGGCCTGGGTGCTGTCCCTCAGCTCTTCAGCTCAAGGCAAGCACTCTACCACTTGAGCTACTTCTGGTTTTGCTGTTTATGTGGTGCTTAGGAATTGAACCCAGGGCCTCATGCATTCAAAGAAAGCACTCTACCACTGAGCCACCTTCCCAGCCCCTATTATGTGGTTTTTAACTATGAGACTTTTCAGGTACATGGCAGGAGGCGAGGAGGGAGAGGGAATGATGGAGGTTGAGAAACAGTGAAAGACATTGCGGTGATGTGTGAGGAGGTCATGAGAGCTCTCAGTGAAGACTGAGGACCCCTAGGGGTGGGAGCACGGGGAAAGAGCAAACACTAGAAAGGGATCATCTGATTTAAATGTAACATTCACATGTCTGAAATACCATGGTGAAACTGCCTGCTACAAACACGCACTTAAACATGGCTGAGAGGAAACTAAGGCAGGTTGTGTTGGAGTGGGTGCCAGGAAGAGGAGGAGGGTGGATGAGGATGGATATGATTGCGTACTTTATTTGCACATATGAAAAGAGAACAATAAAACCTGGAGGGGGTTGTAAGGGAGAGTGGGGAAGGAAATGTGTTTGGTGGAGACACATTCTATGTGTGTCTGGAAATGTCACCATGAGTCCTGCTCCTGTACAACCAGTGCATGTGAATGTATCTCTTCTTTTTTTTTATTTTGGTGTTGGTCCTAGGGCTTGAACTCAGGGCCTTGGGGCTGTCCTGAGCTTTTGCTCAAGGCTAGCATTCTACTGCTTGAGCCACAGCACCACTTCTGGATTTAAATTTTTTTTAAAATTTTTTTTGGTGATTAATCAGAGATGAGTCTCATGGACTTTCCTGCCTGGGCTGGCTTCAAAACTCAACCTTCAGATCTTAGCCTCCTGAGAAGCTAGGTTTATAGGCATGAGCCACCAGTGCCCAGCTGTGAATGCATCTCTTTAAAAAAGCCAAAATGTGAATGAATCTCTTTAAGAAATCCAAAATTGGGCTGGGAAGGTGGCTCAGTGGTAGAGTGCTTGCCTTGCATGCATGAGGCCCTAGGTTCAGTTCCTCAGCATCCCATAAGCAGAAAAAGCCAGAAGTGACACTGTGGCTCAAGTGGTAGCTAGCTTTGAGCTGAAGAGCTGAGGGACAGCACCCAGGCCCAGATTTCAGGCTCCACAATCGACAAAAATAAATAAATATAGATAGATAGATAGGACCCCAAATCCAGGTGGCTCTCCTCACCACAGTCATTTAGTTAATGACGCAATGATGTATGGCTGTCTAGGATATGACCAACACAATGATTTCAAAGATGTTTGTATGACAAGGCCCGAATGGATATTGAATTGTATGATATGGAGGGCACCCTCAACTTCACCCCAAAATATAGACAAGCAGTGAAATAAACTCATTCCATGTACTGTGTGGTCATATATAGTTCTTTTGAAATAGTTGATGGAACTATGGAGGTAAGTTTGGGTCAGAACTCATTTACTAGATATTTAATCTACTGCCTAAGGAAGTAGAGCAGATGAATTTTAAGTCTCAGAGGGAGAGGGGGACAGAGAGGGGAGAGGAGACAGAGAATGAGAGAGAAAAATGTTGAAAAGCAGACATTAAGCCAGGCACTGGTGACTCATATCTGTAATCCCAGCTACTCAGGAGGCTGAGATCTGAGGATCACAGTTCAAAGCCAGCCCAGGCAGGAAAGTCTGTTGGATTGTCATCTCTAGTGAACCACCAAAAAGCCAGAAGTGGTACTGTGGCTCAAGTGGCAGCATGCAACTCTTGAGCAAACTAAGCTCAGGGACAGTGCCCAGGCCCTCAGTTCAATCCCCAGGACTGGCAAAGATATTAAAACAGATGTTAAGTTTTCTAAATGGGCACAGTAGCTCATACCTATAGCCACTGCTACTTGAAAGGCTAAGCCAGGGGTCCAAGGCCAGCCTGAGTAATATAACAAGACCCTACCAGGAAGGAGGGAAGGAAGAAGGGAGGGAGGGAGGGAAAGAGAGAAAAGGAAGGGAGGGAGGGAGGGAGAGAACGAGGGAAGCCTGTGGGGAGCTTACTGGACATTCATTCATGCTATAAGGTTTAGCAGTCATTTCAGAGATCAAAGATCATCGTTTGAGGCCTGAAGATGTAGCTTAGTGGTAGTGTATCTGTAAGCACGTATAAGGGCCTGGATTTGATCTCCAGCACTTGTCCCCCTACCCCTCTCCCCCCAGCAATAAAAGCACGATTCTCACTGGGGTGGGCACACGCTATGCGTGGCCAGGCCCCTGCCTTTCAGGTGGCATGGAGCCTCCTGCTGCTGGGAGCTGAAGGAGGCCATGTAGGAGCCCACACCGGCTCTCGCACTACTGTGTCCATACTCATTTTGTCACAAAGGTACCTGGTGGGCATATATATAACGGAATTCAAGGGCCTGCCCACAGTGGTATGGAAGATAAACTGTGGTTTATTCACAAAACAGAAATGGGTTCAGCCTCGAGAAAAGATAGCAGCCTGGGTGATTCACACTCATCTTACTGAGCGAGAGGCCAGACTCAAGGAAAGAACTGTTGACCTGAAATTCAAAACCAGGCAGAAGCCAGACACCGGTGGCTCACGCTGTCATCCTAGCTACTCAGGAGGCTGAGATCTGAGGATCAAGGTTCAAAGGCAGCCCAGGGAAGAAAGTCCGTGAGACTCTTATCTCCAATTAACCACCAGGAAATCGGAAGTGGTGCTGTGGCTCAAGGGGTAGAGTGCTTGCCTTGAGCTGAAGAACTGAGGAACAGCGCCCAGGCCCAGAGGTCAAGACCCACAACCGACAAAAAAAAAAAAAAAAAGAACAGCTGGTGTGGTAGCACGTACCTGCAGTCCCAGCCCTTGGGAGGCTGAGGCAGAAGAAGGGAGAGTTGGAAGTGGTGCTGTGGCTCAAGTGGTAGAGCCCTTGCCTTGAGCTGAAGAGTGCAGGGACAGCACCAAAGTCCAGAGTTCAAACCCCACAACTGACAAAAAATACAGTTAGAAGAAGGGAGAGTTTAACCCAGCTGGGGCACAGCAAGTCCCTGTCTGAAAGGGAGTAGGGGCCAACAGGACCGTTTTTTTTCCTTTGTTCTCTGATTTTTTCATTCCTTCTTGATTGTTGCTGGCCAGCTGTCTGGCTGTCTCTCTTTTCTTTGTGCCAGTCCTTGGGCTTGAACTCAGGGCTTTGGTTCTGTTCCTGAGCTTTTTTTGCTAAAGGCTAGCACTCTACCACTTGAGCCCCAGCTCCACTTGCAGCTCTTTGTTGTTGTTGTTAAGTCATGGGATTTGAACTCTGGGCCTAGGCGCTGTCCCTTAGCTCTTCAGCTCAAGGCTAGCGCTCTACCACTTGAGCCACAGTGCCACATCCAGCTTTTTCTGCTTATATGGTGTTAAGGAATTGAGCCCAGGGCTTTAGGCATGCAAGGAAAGCACTCTACCACTGAGCCACCTTCCTAGCCCAGCTTTTTTTTTTTTGTAGTTTATTGGAGATAAAGAGTCTAACAGCCAGGCACCGGTAGCTCACACCTGTAATCCTAGCTACTCAGGAGGCTGAGATTTGAGGATCGTGATTCAAAGCCAGCCTGGGCAGGAAAGTCCGTGAGACTCTTATCTCCAATGAATCACTAGAAAACCAGAAGTGGCGCTGTGGCTCAAGTGGTAGAGCGTTCACCTTGTGCTGAAGAGCACAGGGACAGCATTCAAGCCAAGTTCAAGCCCCACTACCAACCAAAAAAAAAAGTCTAACAGATTTTGCTGCCTAGGCTGGCTTTGAACTGTGACCCTTAGCTCTTGCATCTAAAGAAAACAGGCATCAGCTACCAGGACCCAGCCACTATTTTCTTCTAACTACTTTCTGCTCATGAACAGAAAGGGCTTCAAGAATGATTTGCTTGATTTCACAGGGAACTATCTAAGCCAGAAAGAAAGACTAAAAGAATCAAAATGGAATTAGAAAAACACACATTGGATGAGTTTAACCAGTTCATCTTGTAAAGTGACACAACCACCACTTAGTGGTTAGTGGCATAGATTCCATAGTGGAAGGTGACATGTGGTAATAAACACTATTTCAAAATCTAACACTGTCACTTCTCATATCATTTTGCGGGCCATCAAAATATAGACAAGTGAA